TAGTAGCAGAAAATGAACTCCTCCACAAAAAACAATAATATATGCTGATGATACCTATCAAATAGTAGTAGAAAATGAACTTCTCCACAAAAACAATAATATATGCTGATGATACCTATCAAATAGTGGCAGAAAATGAACTTATCCTCTCTGTTCAAGCTGCAAATAAAACTGCTGATAAATTTTCACAATGGTGCACAAATAAAGGTCTACTTGTTAATATAAATAAAACTGTTTTCATGAATTATCAACAAAATAATCTTACTAATGATCATTGTTCACTTATAAAAATACATCAAAAATCTATATAGCAGGTGAATCAATATAAGTATCTAGAATTAGTAACTTGGCGAAAACAAACAGATTATCCAATAACAAAACTGAGTTGAGTCTGCTTCATAATAAGACAACTACATGGAACAGTATCTCTAGAAGTACCCAAATTGGCCTATTTCGAATTAGAACAATCTAATATCTCAAATGGGTTAATATTCTGGGGAAACTCAGCATACGTTACGAAAGTGTTTGTTATAAAAAAAAATAATAATAATTAGATGTATCGCTGGCATACATTGTAGACAATCATGCAAGACAGTTTTTAAAGATCTAGCTATTTTAACAATACCGTCTTTATATATTTTGCTCATAACTATGAATATCAAAAGAAATGAATCACACCATACAAAAAACAGTATGATACATGATCACAATACTCACAGAGGAAATGAACTGAGGCTACCTTACTCACGATTAGTCCTTGGGCAAGACTCGACAAGCTATCAAGGAGTCATATGTTTTACCAAAGCAACTAGGTTACTAAGAAATATTGAAAATTACAATACATTCAAAAATCAAAAAAGCTTCAATAGACCTTCTTCTAGAAAATGCCTTTTACAATGTCGAAAAATTTTTAGATTTGAATGTATAAGCTGCTTTTTCTTCAGTTTGTGTGACTAGTCTGATAAATATTGATGTTATATGTGTATGATATTTCATTGATGAATAAATTCTATTCTATTCTATGGTGAGTTCTAGAACTTCTAAATTTATGGATTTAGCGGGATCCTTGTGTAATTATATTTATTATTTCAATCATAATACTTGGAAAATTATTCCCGTTGTATTAATTATATCTTAGTTACATTAACAGTCATTTATGTAACTTTAATTTTAGTTTTTAGCTGTTTCAAAATATTTTTGATACAAAAAATAGATGCAAATCTTGTGTTCTCTTTTTTGATTTTATTATTACCTGTTTGGTTGTTTGGAGCTGATTTTAAATAGAAACTTTTATATATTTTATTCTATTTTATTAACCCCACTATTATTTAGGTCATACTGGATTTATATTTTTCAAATAATTCCAGTTTGGTTTAGGTAGATAAGGTGTTTCAAGAATACACTATTACCGAAAGTGGTAGGAAATGTTCTGAAACAGAAAACTAATTTAACATAAAAACTCTTAGACTAGGATTAATAATCTAATCTAGTTCAAATTTGTCTGAAATAGAAGCTGGAGAAGCTCATTTCTATTGGGATTCTATATTTTTTTGGAATATTTCCGATTTTATAGGGAATAATTAAGATTTTGGTAATACTTTGGGACTATTGTCCATAAAATTCTAAAAACGATAATTTAAGCTAATATTGATTTCAAACAGTTAATATTTTTCTAAAAAAACAAAGAAATTCAAAAAAATTATATTNCAAGTCAGAATTCTGACTTGTATCTCAGAATTCTGACTTGCAAGTCAGAATTCTGACTTGTATCTCAGAATTCTGACTTGCAAGTCAGAATTCTGACTTGTATCTCAGAATTCTGACTTGCAAGTCAGAATTCTGACTTGCAAGTCAGAATTCTGACTTGTATCTCAGAATTCTGAGTTGCAAGTCAGAATTCTGGAATAGAAGTTACAGTAAGCATTTGATCTGCGTCGTTCTTGTGGCTTGTTCAAGTGAGTGGAGTTTCATGGATTTCGAAGTAAGTATCGTTGTCCATTTGAACAATATTTGGTAATTTTTATATTCATTCATGATCTGATAACATTTCTTGAAGACAATCTATCTTTCGTAATTAAAATTGTTGTCGATCTATGATGCCAGAGTCAATTTAGAAAGTTTAGAGAAAATGATTGATTGAGATTTATGCTGTTTACTTGTTATTGGATGAACTCTAAGTGATATATTGAGTGGGTGGGCTCGCTCTCGGGCCCCGTTTCCTTCGATTCTTCTCTTTTCTCGTGGTCAGTGTTGCCATACAGTCATTCTCAAAATATTTGTTAATCGAAGTCAAATTATGTATGCTCGATCAATATGCACGTCATTATTTCTCAATCGTCCGGCAATATATAGCTGTGAAGCCTTTCATCAGCGTTTGGGGAGAAATAAATATTTTTGAAAAAGTCGAAAGGCCGATTCCAAGCATAATTTATTTTTTCGGATGCCTCAACTGATCTTTATCCTTTATCTTCATCAATATTTCTGACAAAGAATATGCCACTCTATGGGATGAAATTGAACTCGAAATAAATGCCAACTAATAGGGTGTACATATACAGGGTGGGCCAAATTGGAAACTTTTAAAGGGAAAGTCCTGTTTTCAAACTAGATAGATGAAAACTGATGGCTGTGTCTGAGGGTGAATTTTTATGACAAACTCAATAGTAAAAACTGCATATCGACATCTATCATCGTTTCTGAGTTATAGCGTGTTTTTCGAAAATGTGCATTTTCGAAAAGTTGCTGTATCTTTTATCCTGTCAAAAATTCTTCGTTTCTGTGAAAACATTTTCAGAGCAGAATTTAATGATTTAAGTAATTTATTTTTTCAAATCATATATCAATATCTATTAATAGAAAAATATTTTTTTCAAATAGGACAACCTGTATATTGCTGCATTTTCAATAGATTTTGAAATTACCTTTCCAAAAATGTAGCACACTTGATGTTTTGCTAGAGTCACCTTTGAAATGCATAGCTTTTAGGTTTTTCATGTAGACTTTGAAACGCACACTTTGAACAAGTAGGATTTGGACGACGCGGCGATAAAACAGAAAGCAAGTATCCACTAGTTGCTATCAAATGTAAAGAAAGCTGTTGACAGCAGTAATTAAAACTCATAGTTTCAATAAAACTGATAACAATTTATACTAGATTTCCTACTAATAAATGAAACTCCAACAATAATAATGATGAACAAACAAGAACAAAATATTTCTTTAGAGGAGGTGTTCGAAATGTCTACCAGCTTCTCTTACACACAAGCGGCATCTTTTTGAACATTTCTTGTCGAATGTTGCTAGTTCAGACTTCCATTGTGTAATGTGTTGTTGATATCTGTTTTGAAATTTATGAAATAAGTGAATTAGAACGAAACAAGTGTCATGAAAATTACTAATGATGTAAGAAAACAAATTTATTATATATTGAAAATTAAATCGATAATGGTTTATATAATAGTTTAAGAAATCAATTACATATAACAATAAAATACAATAAAAAACGGCTAAAAAAATCTAGAAAATGATGAAAATGACCACACACTAAAAAGTAAGTAAAAAATAAATATGAATACAAAGCTAAGCAATAAAAATAAATGAAATGAAATTAAAATTAAATGAAGAAAGTAAAAGATTTCAAGCCAGGTTACTTCACGACGTTTCGATTGTTAGTATCCACAATCGTCTTCGGATGACGACTGGATTATTCCTACGAGAGATGACTATTCATTCAAGCGCCTTTCACTTTCACTTTCCCCGCCCATTGGTTTAGTGGGGGGGTTGACCGTTTAGTGGAAGTGACTGTTCCGCTTGATTAAGGGTTTCCATACGTTGCGTATTTCGATGCTAGCTTGGCTGAATGTATCGTTGGGCAACATTCAGCCAAGCTGAATTACAATTTTCCAGGAACCAGTGGCAAAGATCCATGCGGCGTTTAAAATCTCCTGGTCTGAGTTTATGAACTCTTCTGGTCCTGTATGGCTTGAATTTGTGCTCTTTCAAAATCCGCCTAACGTTAGTTCTTGGTAGGCCTGTTGATATTTTTAAATTACGCGTTGACGTTTTGGGATTATTTGCAACAGCTCCTAGAACGACTATTTCTTCCAACTCCCTATCCCTACTTGATGCATATAATTTTGGCCTTTTCTTTTCAATTAGATTGTGTCGCAATCTTGCGAAAATGTCTCTAAAAGGTTGTCTTCTCTCTGGATACCTCTCGTGATACAAATTGTTTGCTGCCTCTTCATTTTCTCCGGTTTGTATAAAACATACTATCATATCCCATTTTTCATAATCCTCATACTTCATTGCAAATGTGTTTGATAAATGAACAAAAACCACGAATTGAGGAGCGTCTTCAAATCAAAATTTGACAGCTTCCAGTAAACATTTGCTTTCTGTTTTATCGCGGCGTCGTCCAAAGCCTACTTGTTCAAAGTGTGCATTTCACAGGTGACTCTAGCAAAACATCAAGTGTGCTACAATTTTGGAAAGGTAATTTCAAGATCTATGGAAAAATGCAGCAATATACTACAGGTTGTCCTATTTAAAAAAATGATTTTTCCATTATTAACTATTGATATATGATTTGAAAAAATAAATTACTTGAACCATTGAATTCTACGTGAAAAAGTGCACTGAAAATGTTTTCACAGAAACAAAGAATTTTCATCACGAAAAAAGTTACAGCAACTTTTCGAAAATGCACATTATCGAAAAACACGCTGTAACTCAGAAATGAGTTTGAGAGAGAAAATGAGTTTGACATAAAAATTGACCCTCAGACATAGCCATCAGTTTTCATCAATCAAGCGTGAAAACAGAAGTTTCCCTTTAAAAGTGTCAAATTTGGCCCACCCTGTACATGACATGACTGCTTGGAGTGGTTGGTGATGGGTTTTACTTCTATTCCAATTGACGGTTGATAAACTGGCCTGAAAATCTGCAAATACCACCAAATTGTTGGATATAGAGTATAAATATATGAATAATCAAATTAAATATAAAATTATTCACCGACTTTCAAATGAAACCAAATTCGGATAATTATACATAACGGCAACACTACTCGTGGTCGAAAAGACAAGAAACGAAGCGGCTTAGAGCAAAGTCGGGCAAAGGGTACAGAGGGGACGAGTGGTACATTCTCACATTCGGCTGCTCCCGAGTTGTCTCGACGATAGTGTCTTCGTTCTCAGTTTGGGTACTTCACATGAAATTATTTAACTGCATTATATTTCTTACAGGAAGAAGAGTTTATAATGTCTCTTAGTGATTTTTTGAGAAGTGGGAGATATCCTGAATCTTTAATAAGGAATTTGGAAGATGAGAAGGTAGGAATACTATTACAACTCTTTTGGATATATCACCTGGGGTGCCTTCAATTGTTAACTCCATTGAGTTTGATCTACTAAATTGTATCCGAAAATCGTAAAGTTGTGTATATTTTATTCTGAGATTGTCGTTTGAAAATACCGGAGTATTCGCCACCAAGTTAACTCTCGTAACTCTACAAAATAACTCCACAAAATTCAAAACACAACACAACTCACGGTACCGAAAATCACTTTTTTTATTTATATTACATTACGAGCTTTTATTTATTTTCACTTGTGTGTTCGTTAGTTTGTTTGGGTCAAATCTTGCAAGTGAAATTTGACCCACTACTAGCTGTCCGATTCACTTGAAATTTGTCAGGTGTACATAATTCCGGTGCCAATGCATTATGATTTTTTTTTAAACAAAATGATGGCTCCAATATGGCGGAAGAGTTTTGTGATTATGGTCCGATTCGCTTCAAAATTGGTATCTGGGGGTTTTCGGGGTCGGAAATTACGATTCTTTGTCAAAATTGGAAAATTCAAGATGGCGACTCCGAAATGACGGACAAGTTTTATGATTATGGTCCAATTCGATTCAAAATTGGTATGTGGGGGTTTTCTGGAACGGAGATGAATATGAGTTTTTGTCAAAATTTATTATGCATGCAAAAACAGATTCAACAAATATATTTTTTATAAATTTTCAATACCGGTAACTCAGTTGTTATTGCCATTTTTGTTTTTATATAAGTTTTTAATTACATGCTTTTATTTAGTATCACTTGTAACTAACTAACAACATTATAACAAATCTTACAAGTTAAATTTGACCATCCACTAATCGTCCAATTGATTTGAAATTTGGCAGGTGTACATGATTCCGGTGACAATGCATTATGAAATTTTTGTTAAAAACTAGCGCCTCCAATATGGCGGACGATATTTGTGATTATTGTCCGATTCTATTCAAAATTGGTATCCCGAGGTTTTCAGAGTGGGAGATAATAATTGTTTTGTCAAAATTGAAAAATTCAAGATGATGGCTCCAAAATAGCGGACTAATCTTCAAAATTTTTAATTTTTAGGTTGATTGTGCTTCCATTATGTTGATGTCGGATGAGGATTTAAAAGTTTTTTTTCCGAAATTAGGAGACCGACTCTCCATAAAAGACTTCTGCAAAAAATCTATTTCCTCTAAGAAAATTAGTTTGATAGAAAAACTCAAAGAAAAGATGAATAAAAAAGCCCGCACTAAAGAAAATGATTCTCCATATAGACCACGAAAGTGCTTGAAAAATACAAGGGTGATAGAAATTGGATGGCTGTGTACAAGTGAAGGGGATAATGTATTTCGGCAAGTAAAAACTAAAGCAGGAGGAGGGACAAGGAAAGTAAATATTCCCAAAAACGTACTCTGCACAGAAGTATTGGAAAAGGCCAAAAATTTATTTTTTCCCAATGGAGTATCTACGAAAGGACATTTGGATGATTTTGAAGTGAAGCTCCTCGATTATAAAAGTCATGAATGTAATTTAGATTTGACCATTCAGCAAATGTACGAGTTGTCGGCACTAACGGTCTTGAGGTTTTATATGGGTACCATTTATAAGAAAGAGCCCGTTCATGTCGATGAAGAAACTTTCTTTCCCCAAACAGTTACTAGACCTCCAAATAGTCCTGAAAATAATGTAGAACCGTACAAGCTTCACCTACAGAACATTAGAGAAGAAGTGAGCGACTCAATCAGACACCAACAACTAGGTATTTCCAGGATTTCGAGGGGAACGTAAGACACCTCATCATCCATTGCTTTCAATACTTCTGACTTCATTCATATTAAAAAAATGCATCAGTTGCACTCATGATGAAATATTTCTGAAAATATTAAAATTTGAGATAAATGCTATTATGAAAAAATAATAATACGAATTATCAATCATCAGATGATGTTACTTTCAGCTATACCGTATGCTGAAGAAAAATCTTCGAAAATTTGTCAAATTGTGGGATTTTATGTCTCTACCTTCAAAGGCGTGGAAGTGTCATATTTTTATCTTAAGTTGAAAATACAAGAAATTTAAGATGATCATCGGTGTAGCCCCACGAAAATCTACATCTTCACTTCAAAATAGTGTTTTGCTACGATATTCATAGGTCCCGTACTTTTGAAAAACATCAAGCTAATAAGTCCCAAGTATATCAATCGACTGTTTTTCGAATCGGGAACATACATACAATGTTTTTCAATTAACTGAAATAAACTGAACGAATTTCGGTTTTGACGAAAATAGAATTGAATTTCGATGTTCGAATGGAATACCCTCTGTATATTTCAACATTTTTGAAATCTTCTCATAGCAATTTTATTTGAAACCGGATGATAAATCACAAATTCGTCCGCCATATTGAATTTTCACTATGAAATCACAAAAACCTGTACCCGAATGATGAACACCGGCCAGATTTCAATTCAACGGTAGCGCAAAAGGGCTACAAATCAGAATTCCGACTTGCAAGTCGGATTTTTTTTTGCAATAAAAATGAAATTGTTGTGACCCTTCTACGCTTTCGTATACCTAATTGAAATCTGGCCAGTGTTTATCATTCGACTGACAATGCATTATAATATTTTGATAAGGAAAAAATAAAATGACGGATTCAACATGGCGGAGAAGATTCCAAAAATGTTGAAATATTATGATACAGACATGATGATGATAAATCAAACACCGATTCTCTATTACAGCCAATCAATATATATTCACCTCCTTCACTGAGGCGTTCGGAGCGATTGCACCCACCTCGAGAAATCACAAACTACTTCGAAAATTTTTCTAAAGACAATATTTTCGTAAGTTAATTTAATTTATTTGTCATTTTAGTTAGACTAGAGAAGGTATTGAAATAAATCATCATTCCTCCAAAATATTTTCGAAATTCTTTCAATTCGTATATCTTAAAGATTTATTTGTTTTTATTAAAAAACCTCAATTCTGTGTAGTTTCCGCATTCAGTAAAGAACACACGTACTCAAGACAATGAGGACAACATTCGTTAATATATAAATGTATGGCTTCCAGGTTATGCTCATTTAATTTCTCATTTCATTACATCACCCGTAGAGATAGCAGAACCACTTTGAAATTCTTTCTGGCCATAATTTTAGGCTAATTTATAACTCTATTCAAAATGTTTTCCTTTTCCATTGTTGGAGGCAATGAGTTAGCCCAAAACAGCATTTATTAGTGAAGATACATTTTGAGTACCGTTTTTCCGTTGCAACCTTATAAAGAGAACGGCGGATTTTTTGACACAACTGAGAAAAATATTATGTGTAATTTCTCACAATGTTTTTCCTTCATTGGCAAAAAATAGCACCATTCAAAGTTCAATTATCTTCTTTTATATACGAGGAAAGTGAGAAAAAAGGAAGAGAGTAAAGTACCTTTATTTATTGAAATAAACAAGTTATCGATGGAAGTGACTTAAAGTTTTACATAATACTTCCTCAAAATAAACAATTTCATATTTCAATTATAGATCAGTTCTTCGAATAAGGTTTTTGTGTAAATGAAAAATAGAAGTACTTACTCTTGAGCTATTCTTCAAGTTTTTCATTTCCCTCGTTTACAAAAAAAGAAAACTGAAGATTGAATAGTGTGTTTTTTGAGGAGAATTCATGAAGAATAAAATTTTCTGATAAATTACAAATGAGCTTTTTTCCCCTTGTGTCCTATCTATGTACTCCAAATCAGTTTATTTTTTTTAGGATCTGGAGGTGATTGAAGGTGTTGAATTACCTGAAGTAAATGTCATTTACAGTCAACCAAGAGATCCAACTGAGGAAGTTGATCATCGGAAATCAATTTTTGAAAAACTTATTTTACACAGAGGAAATATATTCAGAGAGTTGGTAGAGGCTGTTCAACAGAGGGAAATCTATTTTCGATCAGTTCAGATAGAAATGATTCAGATAGAAATGGCGTGCGGAGGCATATCAACTTCTAAATTCAAATGACATAGGGTGTCAAGTGACACCTCGTTGAAAAGGTAATTCAATTTTCGGACGTACGTACATTTGAAATGTCAAGTGTAAGTACGGATCTGAATGGTACACTTACATAGATAACTTTTGAACGGTTTGAAAATGATTTCGAATGATATTACCGATAATACTTTTTGAGTTATTCATCACTAAAATTTTCGAACATACACAATTACAAGATTAAATACATGAGAAAATTTATTCACCCAGTCAAAAAAGGAAAATGCTAAAAGCTAAACACAAATGTTTGATCTTGAACAAATTTGAAAAAGACTACATGTATAAAAGAAACTATGTCATTTATCTAAGCATTGAAAGCAAGAAATTCGTCTATACTGTAGAAGCAGTTATCCAACAAGAAACCGGTGGTACAAAGTATCTTCAATGCAATTACTCGACAGATAGGGGCACATCAACTTAAAATTACAAATTGTATGGGGGGTTAAGGGGCACATAGTTGAAAATATTATTCATATCAAATTCAAACTACACATCGAACAGAAAACATCCTGAGCACAGTTGAACTACATTTCATTATCTATAACTTCTCGCAATATTGTTTTTTTCAGCTTCAGATTTGTAAAAATGATGATTTTTTGAAAAATAGTCTCTTTTTCCCCGATTTTCTCAGTGGAAAATGCACCGATCCGGCCGCTTAAAAAAATATTTTGAAGGTTTTATAATTCTATTCGAAAGTTCTATTGATTCTAAACCTGTATCTTCGATACTTTTGGAGATATTTGCAAAAAAAATATTTCTTGTTCAAAAAAATCCACAAAGCGATTGTTTTCATTTACGAACTATGTTATGAAAAGTAGTATAGGCCATTTGCGTCTTTTATTTTGTGTGAAAAGAGCCTCCCACTTTTTTCTACAGCTTGGCCAATACTATATCCTACATAACTTCTTTCTGAAATGATTTAAATCATGAATAAATGAATTTCATCACTTCAATTAGTCCAATAATGTAAAAATTTCATCTCTCAAACTTTTATATAATTGAATAGCTGCATTGGGATTTCTTGGTAGAGAATATCGATTTTCTGCTATTAATATCCTGCACAAACCATAGATGTCATCATCACATGTATTTTTGCTGGATACGCAGTTATCTGTTAGAGCATCTGAGGCAAAATTTGGAATATGGATAAGGTAACTCCTCGCTTTATATGACGGCATATCGAACATTATTGAAGGTCTTCCAATGGGCATATTTGAGTTCCTCGATTTCTGTATTTTATGAACATTCCATTCCTGGGCAATTTGATCCATCTCGTCCTGAAACATTGAATACAAACAATATATCAACTATGCAAGTTTGCAAGGAAAGGGTATTTTGATGGTTGGAAATTCTGTACTGTAAAGTTAGCGGGGGAATAATAGACTAATATGAGATTTCACTGTTTATCATTTTACCATCTATAATTCTTTTGAATTTCACCAACATTGAAATGAATGGAATTTCAATATATTTTTACTAGTAAGCAGCCTCTAGAGCCTTGGTCAAGAGAATTCACATTGATGGAGCATCTGAAAACATTTGCTGATTGTTAGCCAAATTTCAATTATAATAACATGAACGCATCTGATTCCATGCAATATATAAACGGATTATTTTGTATGTGAAATTCGATGCGACAAACTGGCGTAGATTAGTCAGTCATTTTATTTCCCTCTACTCCATCTATTAGCGCGAGTTCTCTTCGGAATCCTCAAACTATTGATTATTACCATAAATAATTAAAATCATTGTCAATAAGTATGATAATTATAACATATGAATACGATCATTATATACGCACCTGAATGAGTTCCATGAAACAAAACTGGATGAGACATTTGTCTAGATATGTCCCACAAAAATGTCCGTCATCTTTCAACTGATGAAATAAATTCATCCAGAATTGCGCATTATGTTTCCGTAGAATGGACCACCATGCCTCGATTCGTTGATTATGTACGCTCTTGCCATAAATAAAACACGGCTTTGAAGATCTTGTGCCAAACAATTCATGTAATGATTTCTGTATTTTTTCAATACATGTGTTCTCTGTCCCCATATCACACCTCAATGTTTCAGGGCATCCGCCAATCATTTTAATTCCGTCTAAAAAGTAGCCACCAATAACCTGTGGAATTGAGTTGAACATTAAATCACACAAAGTGCAATACAATGTAACTTTATTGAGAAAAACTGTAACAAAAAATCAGCTTTTCCCAATGAAAATGCACAAAAAAAGCAGTCACTCCTAGATGGAAATTTTTCCATTACATTACACATGTAAACAATTAATTCTTATTTTTACCACCTTTGGATCACTTGACGTTATACCAGCTCGAAGCCAAATAATGTGGCTTGAAAATCCATCTATGCAACCATTTATGCAGATGCCAAACGGCTTCAATAATTCATAAGAGTCCACGTGCCATAGATAGTTTGGCCCCTTGTTGAAGTACTGCCGACGCCTCAACCTCTTCCGCTTGCGAGTTTCAACTCCTTCAGGGTCTAGTAGCCAAAGTAGTTCTCTCACGATATCTTGTGTAACCACTAAATTATTTTGAATGCATCTTAGATGCATCCATCTGTATCCTTGCAGCTGGCCAGATTTCGTAATTTCTTGTCGAAGAAAGTTTACCACATTTTCAATTCTTGAATAATTCTTTCTTCTGTATAATTTTAATCTGCTCAGAATCCGTTTGAGAGTTCTTGCAGATATACATTTATTATGGAGAAACTTGAGATAAGCTAGAATGTCTTTTTGTGAAAAACCATATACGAAATATTTATTCACTAGATGTTCTGTATCATCAACCTGAAAATGAAGAAAATAATCTCCTATCTTACGAATGGCTTGAGTTATGGCTGTAAATAATACCATGCATATCTATTTCCTTCAACAAAGATACAATGAAATTTAGGATTTTATTTGTTTGGATTGACAAGTCAAAATTATTGCTAAAATATATTCGTAAGATTACGAATGGCTTTTTCCTACAACAAAGATGCAATGAAATTTAGGATTTTATTTGTTTTTCATTTGAAAAGGACCCACACGAATATCTCAGAAATTTAAGCTGCAGTGAAAACAATGAAAAATCGTTTGTCAATTTTTATAACAAGGGGACATCTTTTGACCTTCCATTGAGATGAGTATCACTCACCTCATCACCCATATTAACAACCCTTGGTAATCTTGAATGGGATGTGACATCTCATTTGAAAGATAACATGATGAAAAATACCATTATCAAAATCACACTCACACACACACACACACATTTTAGACTTGAATCTGAACAGGTTTGTTTGTTTTTTCAATTCATGGGATAATAAATTGTAGAAATTGGCGTCTCAAATTACATACATTGTTCTGCATACATCCCCAACCGTTATCGTGAAAGTTCGAATATTTATTTTTATTTATAAAAGTTCGAATATTTATTTTTTATTTATTTATAAATGGGCGAACTCCTCTTTACATAATATAGACACAATGTGAAAAATATAAAAATATAGTAATAGGTATACAGGCTGATTCACGGTGGATGGCACATTAGACGTTTCTGGTGAACCAGACAACGGATCACTTTGAAAATTTAATGGAGGGCATATTCGGACATTCTCTAGCCAACTAAAATATTTTCGACAATGCGGTGTTGCCGCTTCTATTAGAAAGCAGTAGCAACTTTGATTTTTCAAACGGAACACTCTGTATATAATACTATTTTTGGAATCTCCAACAATTGCCCGACAACTTTTCTTGATATTTCCCTATACCTATCTGTTACCGTTTTCGAAATAAAAATTAATTTCAATTTTTTTCTTCGAAAATCATGACTTCTAAAAATGCCGATATCTTTTAGTTAAGAAGTACTATGATATCGAAATTTGGTTTGGAGTTAGGTGATACTTGGACACTTCCCACACGTCAGCCTAATCTCCGTTACTTCAATACAGGGTGGTAAAAAAATACAGTTTTTTCGTTTGCTTGAAAAAGTTGCTGAAATTTGATTATTTTAAATGGAACACCCTGTATATTATTGAAAATTCGGAAAGCTGCTGAAATTTGCTTTCTTTCTATGTATATCATACCTATACCTAACTAGTCAAGTTTCGGACTTATGAACATTTATTTGTGAAAATGTCCCTTCAGAATGGTATTTCCATTCGGTATTTGGTAAGCAGGCCATTATTACTATTTGACAGTAGCGTTGTGACATTCTCCTAATAATATCGACATTTTCGTCACTTCAGAAGTTGCAAATACCTTCAAAACGATGGAACAAAACTATTCAAACGAAGTTCTTATGAATTTGTTTATTATTTTTGGACAGTGTGACAGAATTATCAGCAGAACATGTAGAAAGTTCAATGAAATGTATCCGAATCTACCGCCAATGAACCTCAAGAAATTTATTCGAATTCAGAACAATTTCAATATGTTTGGATAAACTTTAAAAAAGCACCTCAAAGTGATCCGTTGTCTGGTTCACCAGAAACGTCTAATGTGCCATCCACCGTGAATCAGCCTGTATATCACGAGAATCACAGAGTAGCTACTTCATTTAGAGATTTTTTAACAGATTGTAGTTTGTGAATCAATCAAGCTATTGCAGTGCGATTTCTATAATAAAATGACTTATCCCAAGGCGAGTGAGTCATTCCAAGATCCAAGAGATTGTTGATGGGGGTGACAGAGACACACCTCAATGATTTGTCAGAATATTAAATCCATTTATGTATATAGTGAGCACCATATGTAACGGATAAATTCATTTTCTACGTTATTAGCCATTTTCAAGAAAAACCCTGAAACACGTCGAATTATGTATTCGAAATGACACTCTGTGACATAAAAAAATCCCCCCTCCGTCATCCCCTCAACGTAACAGACACCCCCCCAATGTTTCCAAATGCAAAAGGGGGTCAAGTGATACCTCATTTTGAAGGGTATTCAATTTTCCGTACAGCCATATTTTTATTTTTCAATTTCGTGCATGCGTCATGATTAAACAAAAAATTCAAAGTGTTGAAAGGTATCACGTAGGTATTTCATTGAATCCGTCCGATGTACAATATGCTATGCACCTTAAATTTTTAGTTGGTTTTTACCAACCGTTGTTTGTCAGCCGTGACAGTTGAGTAAAAAATTGATTGCTACCGCTTTAATAAATGATTTACATAACAAAATTTATTCAATTGTTTTTTTGTGACGCATGCACGAAATTAAAAAATAAATATATGGCTGTACAGAAAATTGAATACCCTTCAAAATGAGGAATCACTTGACTCACTTTTGCATTTAAAAAAATTTGGGTAGTGGCTGTCACGTTGAGGGGGGTGACGGAGGGGAAATGTTTCCTATGTCACAGAGTGTCTTTTCGAATACATAATTCGACATGTTTCAGGGTTTTCCTTGAAAATGGCTAATAACGTAGGAAATGAATTTATCCGTTACATATGGTGCTCAGTGTATATTTATACACAAATATATAAGTAGGTAATACAATTCAAAATTGAAAACGTGTTTTTTCGGTATAAATATATCTACAAATCAGAAATTAAAAAAATTCTCTCGTAAAATAATTTTTTTATTTTATTTACAATCAATAGGCAATGTCCAATTACAGATCACAATACATAAATTCATAACTAGTTTAAAATCTCAAAGAATTGATACATATAACTTCATTTGTCCAGCATTATTTTCTTAAGGTTACAATGTAGAAAATTGAAATATATATACAGTGCGAGTCTCTAACATGGACAAATTCACTGAATCAAAGGTGTTGTTTCTTTCGGAAATATGCTCGGACACGTCGATTAGTATTTCAAAGTGCCCTTATTTTATTGCAAAAAAATCATACAGTGTGTCTCAAATATGAGATATGACGTCATCGATAATTTTTTCAAATGGCAACCCTTTTTTTTAATGACTTCTATTAAAAGGTTCAACAAGTTGCACATGCCTGCCAAATTTCAATTTTTTACTCCTTGTCATTTGAAAGATATGTAACAAACATTATCTAATTCGAAAAATTTATTCAATTCAATAGTCTTCCTTCAATAAATGCTTAGAATATGACAGGAGTGTAGGTTGATTTTCGGCGAAGTAATCAGAAATGTTCAAAACGAGTTTCAGTTACGTTTAGGGTATTGTCAGTTAGTAAATGGACATTTTGAACACTTGTTAACGAAAGACTATTGATTTTGAATTCATTTTTTGAATTAGATAATGTTTGTTAAATATCTTTCAAAGGACAAGGAGTAAAAAAATGAAATTTGGCAGGCATGTGCAACTTGTTGAACCCTTTTATAGAAGTCGTTAAAAAGAAGGGTTGTCATTAAAAAAAAATATCGATGACGTTATATCTCATATTTGAGTCACACGTTATAATTTTTTTTTGCATTAAAATAAGGGCACTTTCAAATACTAATCGACGTGTCCGAGCATATTTCCGAAAGAAACAACACCTTTGATCTAGTGAATTTGTTCCATGTTAGAGACTCGTACTGTATAAAGTATTATTTATATCCTTTTTGGATATCGAGATTGCGTCAAAATATAAATCTGCTGTAACAAGATATTCACTGGCAATCCGACAAAATCGATAAATAGGACTATTATGACTTAGATTTGACTGAGGTGTTGGAGAAACATAAAGAACGTTGTATTATTTTTTTCAAATTAGGAGATAGCTTAGATAAAAATTGAATACAGTTAACTTTTCCATTGATCACCTTGTAAATGAAAATTAAACTGGCTATTCAGCATGTCCCCCTCGTAATGTTTTGAGGATTTTCCATTGTAGTTTTATTGGTTCATTTTCAAAAAATATCGCTTTCTAGGTCGGCATCACTAAGAAATCAATAATCGAAAAGCACATTTGTTAATAAGATATTCAATGGTTTACAGTATAAATGAAAAATATTAATTTATACCTACACTTTCAAACTCAAATACAGAACAAAATGTTTTTTTGAGAGTGATGATTGGCATCCTACCCAGAACAACATACTGTAATAAATACTGATTCAAAATACTACAATAAACACTATGGTAGGACGTTTTATCTGTTGAATAACAGATCAACTCGGACAACGATACAGGCATAAAGCTAGTCGACTACAAAGTCAGAATTCTGAGATACAAGTCAGAATTCTGACTTGTATCTCAGAATTCTGACTTTGTAGTCGACTAGCTTTATGCCTGTATCGTTGTCCGAGTTGATCTGTTATTCAACAGATAAAACGTCCTACCATAGTGTTTATTGTAGTATTTTGAATCAGTATTTATTACAGTATGTTGTTCTGGGTAGGATGCCAATCATCACTCTCAAAAAAACATTTTGTTCTGTATTTGAGTTTGAAAGTGTAGGTATAAATTAATATTTTTCATTTATACTGTAAACCATTGAATATCTTATTAACAAATGTGCTTTTCGATTATTGATTTCTTAGTGATGCCGACCTAGAAAGCGATATTTTTTGAAAATGAACCAATAAAACTACAATGGAAAATCCTCAAAACATTACGAGGGGGACATGCTGAATAGCCAGTTTAATTTTCATTTACAAGGTGATCAATGGAAAAGTTAACTGTATTCAATTTTTATCTAAGCTATCTCCTAATTTGAAAAAAATAATACAACGTTCTTTATGTTTCTCCAACACCTCAGTCAAATCTAAGTCATNCAATAGGAGTAAATTTTTTGGCTATGATGTCCTGAGATAATCCTTTGAAAAATCTATAATTATTTACTCAAGCTTTTCAAAAATAACTAGAATCTAAACTTACTAAACTAACTTATAAATTTATAAAAATCTGATCAACATCTCTCACAATCAATAAAATCAGGCCAAGATGGAAATCTAGAAGAAAATCAGGATAGGACTTATTTATTAAATTAAATACTCATTTAC